TTGATCTATTTTGCATTTAAATACGAGCATACCAAATCTGTACTTTCTGAAACAATACACAAACAAAAACATAGCTTTAAAATATGCCTTCAAATTTCACACCTCCAAAATTTTCTGATTTAATTCTCCAATCAACAAATGTGCACACAAATGCAAATACTACGTGGGAGTTGTGTGCATGCACATGCATGTATTAGTGAAAAGTAATGTGCAATTACTTTAGTAATTAGTGAAAAGGGATGTGGGTGGCACTGTGGGTTAAACCACAGAGCCTAGGACTTGCCGATCAGAAGGTCTGCGGTTCGAATCCCCACGACGGGGTGAGCTCCCATTGCTCGGTCCCTGCTCCTGCCAACCTAGCAGTGTGAAAGCACGTCAAAGTGCAAGTAGATAAATAGGTACCGCTCCGGTGGGAAGGTAAACGGCGTTTCCGTGTGCTGCTCTGGTTCGCCAGAAGCGGCTTAGTCATGCTGGCCACATGACCCGGAAGCTGTACGGCCAATAAAGCGAGATGAGCGCCGCAACCCCAGAGTCGGTCGGTCCCTTTACCTTTAATGTGCAAAAATGCATTATGTTGAGGACAGTTGTTTGTAAAAATATGAACGTTGGGCAAAATTGAATATCAAAATGAATATGTTAGGAAAAATGCACACTAAAATGTTGATTTTCACAAGGACTTTTTTTTTTTAAAAAAAAAGCACATCTGAAGTGAAGGCACAAGACAGGAGTTGATCATCATGTGAGCTGCGCACAGGTGGGCTGAAGCGAGCTGCTGACCAGTCCTGTGGAGCCTCCTTTTATTGAGACACATATGCAAGCTAGGCAGATACATTTTGGGCTGTGACCTTTACACATCTTCCGTCCCGAGATCGTGGGGTGGTATTTTGGCACCTGTTTCCACAGCGTCATTTTCCCCTTGCACAGTGTATGACGAAGGAGACAAAAGGTCTCAGGGACAAAGGTTACAGACAGGACACCACCGTCTGCTGAGACCACAAAAGGTCAGACCGAGGGAACGATGTACCAGACAGCTGTGGCTTGTCTGGGGGGGGGGTGTACCCCGCACCCCAGGGTCACGCGTGCAGGCAGACTGTGGCTGCCTGCTGGTGGGGAGTGTGCTCCCTCCGGACCCCACTCCTCACTCCGCGATATCCCTACACACATCCATAATTTTTGATTTACTGGGCAGAGCATTTAAGTTCACCATTGGTCTTGGTAGCCTTTGGTTAGGAGCCAGAACACTTCCTGGAAAGAAAATCACCAGCCTCTGATTTGGCATAATTCAAGCAGCTTTCTATTGATTATGCAGGTTTACAGCAAGTCGTTGAAACTGACTATCGAGCTGGTGAAAGGTCAGGGGAGGAAGTAAAGGAATGTTTGTCAGCAGTTTCAAGTACAGAGAATGATGCATTCTTAAATCCCACTGAAATCAGCAGGGATTGCTGGCAGATTATCTTTGATTATCTTTGGGCAGGCGTTGCCTGATGGTTAATATGTCAGGGTGAAGTTTGATTGGTTTCTTAAGGAATATTTTTAATACCAGTTGCTGGTATCCTGGTTAGCACCATGACCACAGTGCACAGAAAGGGAATTTTAACCTTTCCCACCTCCCCTGCTCCATCCCAATCTCATGATCACAATGAAAATCACTTCTCTTAGAAGAGAAGCTGCCATTAACATAAATTAGAGTTTCTAAGCCAGAGAGTAGCTAGGGACGATTTTTTATTATTATTTATTTTTTGCTAGAATAATGGAAAGAGTTAACACTTTCCCACCAAACCATGGTCCTGTTCCTGTCAGGACCCCAGGCCACTGGCATTTAAAGTATAGAGGAAAATGTACATGAAACTTGATGTGGTGCATTTAGTGCTGTGCTTAGTTTGGGCCTTAGGCCGTGTCTACATTTCCACTGGGTCTGAGAGGTTTTCTGCTTGTCCCTTACTTTCTAGTCATGGATCTGAGAAGTTTTTTGTTTGTCCTGCCATTTCCCTCAGAAAAAAACACACCACTGTTTACTGCTGAATCAGAACAAATGTCAATCCACAGAAAAACCAATTAATGTTTGTTCCAGTTCAGCAGCAAACAGCAGATTTTCCTGAGGGAAATCGATGGGACGAGTAGAAGTGTGGCCTTAGTCTGCCATCTTAGTTTCTGATATGACCAAGGACTCGGCTACATGTTTCAACTAGGATCCAAAGAAACACACAGTTCCACACTCATAAAGGGGCTTGTGGTTCTGGGAGGGGTGGGCAAATATTCAGCTTTCCTGTCTTAAATTCAGTTCCTCCATTTTTCAACAAAGTCTTCATGCCATATACTGTGAATTTCTCTTCTTATACCTGCTTTTGTATGCAATGCTGCCTAATATACACATTTTTTTTGCAAAGCAGTTTCCTCTCAAATAATGCATTTTTAATGTTATTTTCATTAATATAAGTGTTTTGTTACTTTAATATATCCATGTGGATTTGCCTAGTTGTAGAGAGGGCATGTCTTTTCATGGAAGTACTTCCCATGAGTTAAGGTAAAATGTTGATTTCCCATATATTACACATTCATGATGATTTGTGCTCATGATGCTATTGGGGCAGTCATACGTGGTATCACTTTTATTACTGTTTGCACCTGCAAATGGTTTGGAAACAGTCATACTGCTTTATTTTCAATTGGTGTGGGTTTAAAAATGAGGTACAGCAGCAGCTAAAAGCCAAGGAAGCATCACTTCCTTATCTTGCAGTGTCTCAATGCTACTGCTGTCATACAATATCAGGGAGGGAAGGTTCATGATGCCAAACATCTCATATGCCAGATGCAGCATCTCCTAAGCAGTTAACCTCTGTAGTGGAGTTTCTTGCGTGAGTGCAAGTTGTCAGATATATTTTTGCTTCATTGTTGTCACCCTTCAGTCCTGGGATTTATAGCTGTCACTGACCAGAGTGGGTAGCGATTGCCCTTCTAGTCAGATGTTAAAAGGATGCTGGATGATTAGATTTCCTTTGAGATTGCCTGGGGCGCATCATATATGCATAGCAAGATGTCTGATACTCTTCAAATAAGAAAAGAATGTTCTGTTCTTGCTGCTCTTTATCGCCAACGACACTCATTGTAGCATCAAAAGAAGGGGGGGCATTTTTATGAGTTTGGAGGGAACAGAGTGCCTCTCAGTGGTTAGAGCATCTACTTTGCATGCAGAAGGTCCCAGGTTTACCCCCTGTGTCTCCATGTGTGGCTGGGAGGAAACCCTGCCTGAAACCCTGGACAGCCTCTGCCAGTGTAGACAGGAGTGAGCAAGATGGACCAATGTCTGCCTCAGCATAAGGCAGCATATTCCTATGTTCCTATCTATAGCATTCCTTCAATTCTGAAGCAAATCAGTGGTAACAGAATAGCATACCAGCTACTTCTGTGTATGCTCACTTACAAGGATAACATCAGGTATATGTGGGAAGAGCAGGGAATACCTGAAGCCACAGTCAGTCTGGCATGAACTATAGTTCTGCACTTCAACTGCAGGGTAGTGATCTTCACTACAGGAATAGTCTTTCAATGGTATGTCAATAAAATCATAACAACACTTGCGATATTTTGCAATGGGATTTGCCACGCTCCACAAGCAGTGTGGGGGCTAGGGGGGCTGTGGCTCCAGGTGCAAATTTATGAGGGGGTGCAACCAGGTGCCCCCCCAGGCTCCCTCATTGAGGCTGGAACAGCAAGGAGGCAAGCTGCATGGGGCCATTGGGACTGGGGTAGCGATAGCGCTTCCTTCTTGTGGTCAACACGTGCGCCCTTCCCCTGGGAGGGAAAGAGGAGAGTGCTGCTGCCGCCGCCACCACTACCCACCAAGGACAGAGGGAGAGGAAAGTGGGAAGGCACTGCTGGAGCCACGTGTGTTGCCCAGAGCACATCGCTGCAAGGATAGGAGGGTGAGGTGACACAGTGGTGTTCCTGGCTTCACATTTCTCTGCCTTAGCTCTGCTCTCAGGTTGGGGCTAATTTGCAAGGAGAGACTCCATTGATTAGACACTGGCTGGTAAAGGGCTGACCCCTGCCCAGTCCACCAGGGGGTGCAACACTTGTCCTGCCCCAGGCACCGGCAACCCATACTACCTGATGTTGGAATTCCTGCTCCATGATTGCAGTCATGGGATTGTTGTCTTTCACATGACGGTATATGTTTTGACTCCACAGAGTGGGAAGTGATGAAGACAGGATGTTTGTGTTACTGTATTCCGTGAAGTGGGACTATTGTCCTTTTTTCTTTCTCTCTTTGCTGTCTGATGCTAGAGAGAGAGGGAGCCATGTTGCAGTGCTCCGTGTGTGTTTATATGTAAATAAAGTAGATTAGCCAAAATGCTGAGTTGCTGAGGTCTGTCACACAAGGTGCGCAAACCCTGCAGATCCCTAAGTGTGTTGGTGTCAGTTGGCATTGGTCGCTGTGATGTTCTGGCAGAAGAAAGCTTTTGAAGCTCCCGAATGAAAGACCAGGAGGGAGAGAACATGCCAGTCGGGCATGTGTCTCTGCCAGGGTCCTACTCAAGTGTAGGCTGAATTCCTGACACCTGTCCACAAGTACCCCTTCTGACATGCCCCAGGCATAAAAGTTTGACATGGAGAAGAGGGCAGTGAGACTATGCCACTGCCCATTGAGGCTGGCATCAGAAAGATCTATCCTACACATGAGCAAGTGCTCACACAGAAGTGCCCCTTTGCAAACATTGCTTTTTATGCAGACATTGGGGGAAAGATGGGGAGACAAGCCCAAGGGATATGACAGATTGCAGCATTCTTAATATCATGGATCAACTGCATTTCCCTGCATTGACTGAAATCATGTCCTGCCCAAGTACCCTGCGATAGCAGTGTCAATGTTCGGTTACGGTTACTAGGAATCAAACAACACCTTTTCATATTAATGTTGATGCAGCAGCAACTCTCATAGGTTCCGGGCTTCTTCTTCTGAGGGAGAAGTGAGGCAGCCAACAGAAAGCAATACGAGGCAGTTATCTTGTCAAAGGAACTCAGGGTTTAGTACACAAGAGCTTGTTTTGTAACGGAGAAACCTGTAATCTCAAAACTCAGAAAAGGAAAGGAGAAAGGTCATCTCCTGCACCTTGAAACACTCAAATGGGGTTAGCAATTAGGAAGAGACTAATGCTTGGCTTTCAAAGTGCACATCATTCAGAGTGCTGATTCAGCAAATGAAATCCACTGAGGTGCCCTGAGCAAATATCAATGGGAGCCCAGTTACGGTTACAATATTCAGTTCTTTTAAAAGCTGTCTGTCTGGGGTTCTCCCATTTCATCCCTAGAAAGCCCACCATGTGCAAAGAAAATGAGCACTGGAGATCTTGCAAACAGAGGAAGGCTTCCTGCAGTGGTTTACTGTAGGAAGTGGTTTGCTGTATCAAAGCAACTGGGAAATGGGTGTGTGAAGGTTAAATGACAAGATTGATGGCTCTATTAAGGCAACTGCACACACCACGATTGTGGCAGGAAACACCAATACTATATTACAGCAAACATGCAACGTGGGCATTATATATACTTGGATTTTATATGCATCTTTACACACCCATATGCACCCATTTAGGGAAAACACTAATGTAATTCTTGCTGAGAGAAACAGTGGTATTGTAACAGGACTTCCAGCAGCAAACACATAAGATGTGGCCATTGCAAATTCATGTGTGTGTCTGGAAAACCTGGCCCAATCAGATTTTTAATTTATTTGTGTATTGCTTATAGATATATTTATATTGTGTGTGCTGCCCACACATCAACAGTGATTCTCATAGCAATCAAAATATGTGGAGCTGTCTGCATAATACTGTGAGTGTATGGTAGATGTTCTGTCGTTTGTGGTAAACGCTTCTGAGTCTTCTCCAGTGACTCCTACATGCAAGGCTACTGCCTCCCATCACACATCAAGGTCTTGCCCAAACCATACATTTAAAGCACTATTTTACAACTTTAACAATCATGGCTTCCGCCAAAGATTCCTTGAGCGGGTGCTCAGAGTTGTTAGGAGACCATATGCCCCTGTTCCTGGAGTGCATTGGGAAGATGGGTTGGTTGTTAAGCCACTCTAGAAACTGTAGCTCTGTGAGGAGCATAGGGTTCTCCTTGTCAGGAGCTCAGCCTACACTCAAGTAGGATCCTGGCAGAGACGCATGCCCGACTGGCATGTTCTCTCCCTCCTGGTGGATCGTTCGGGAGCTTCATTAGCTTTCTTCAGCCCGAAAATCACAGCGCCTGGTGGCCACAGACATCGGCACACTTAGGGATCCTCAGAGTCTTCACAGCTTGCGTAACAGACCTCAAATCCTTTTTCTTTTTTGTCTTTTTTAAATAATTCATTTATCTGGAAGTGTTGTAACCAATCACTTACTTCTCCTTTTTCTTCATTATAATCTTTCAACTTTAATTTGTTCTCTACTTCAATTAATAATTCTCTATATGTTATCCATTTTTATCTCATATTTGTTTTTTTACTGAGATTACTTCCATTGGTAAAATCCACCAAGGTGTTTTTTTGTTCTAATAAGTCCTTATATTTCTCCAAGACTTTAAATATTGCATATCTTATAATATGCTTATGAAAACTCTTATGTACTTTAGTCTTTTGGTACCATAGATATGCATGCCATCCAAATCTGTTGTCGTGTCCTTCCAGATCCAATAGATCTGTGTTTTTTAGACATATCCGTTGCTGGATCCAACAAATGCAAGATGCTTCATAATATAGTTTTAGATCTGGAAGGGAGAAACATCCTCTGTCTTTGGTATCTGTTAACAATTTATGTTTTATTCTTCGCTTCTTCCCTCTCCAGATAAATCTTGAAATATCTCTTTGCCATTCTTTGAAGCATTTCATATTGCTGATCGCTGGTATTGATTGAAATAAAAATAACATTTTTGGCAATATGTTCATTTTAATAACTGATACTCTTCCTATTAATTACATATTCATTCTTTCCCAAATTTCTAGGTTCCTCTTTATGTCCTTCCATATTTTTTCATAATTGTCTTTAATTATATTTATATTTTTAGCTGTTAACCAAATCCCTAAATATTTCACTTTTTTGTGACTACTTATACCTGTCTTCTCTTCTATCTGTATTTTATCTTGTTCTGGAACATTTTTAACTATAAGTTTGGTTTTACCTTTATTTAATTTAAAACCTGATACTAGACCAAAATCTTTTATTTTCCTTAATACTTCCGACAAAGAATCTATTGGATCTTCCACCATGATAACCAAGTCATCTGTGAACGCTTTCAATTTGTAGGCTTTATTACCTACCTTAATTCTTTTAATTGCATCTCCGCCCTTATATTCCTTGCTAACATGCTTGATTGTTAATATTGCAAGTGGAAACTCCAATTTGCCTTAAAAGCATTAAAAATCCAAGTTTGGGGCGATGGCCAGTTCGTGCACAAAGAAGCAAAAATAGATGGCAAACACACGTCCACCAGCAGAAAGAAAACTCTTGAGCCACTATTAAAATATCCACAGGGAAAAGCAGCCTGTTTCAGAACCTGAGGATTATTTCTTGACAGTCCCTTTAAGGATTGCCATCTAAATGCTGCATCCGTACAGCAGAATACATTAGCAGTCTCCCACAGTAACCTGAAGGAAACAGGCTGGCATTGCCAGTAGGGGCTCCCATTTTGCAGAAGCTGGAAAGTGGAGTGCAGTCTTGTCACATCCATGATAATCTGACTGGCCACTGAACGGCTGCATTAAGTGGCCAAGATAGCAGACGTACAATTTTCTCACCTTGCTGCCCATTACATTTATAAAATGCTTGGGAGAGGAATTTTGGGGAACAGAGCTAATAGGGTTTATTGACATTCTAAACAGCAGTTTGGAAGAGCATCAGGGAAAGGTGGTATAATTCTCCCCGCCTGCCGCTCATGTTGCTTACTTTCAGTAATTGCTTGCTGTAGCCTTGTCCTTGAACAGTTGTTGAATATACAATCTGGGCTCCTGTAGAAAGTCCCTTTTACAGAAAGGCTGCGTAAATGCTCTGAATATATATATACATGCAGGCAATCCTAATGTCTTCTGCTCTGCGGCTGATTCTTTTTCTCTTCAAATTGGCTAGTGACTAGTTTGCACATGGAGAGAACCCAAAGATAAAAAGGGAAAAGAACTGATTAGGCATAGCAAATGTAGATGCATTTGGTCAACAGACAATGGCAGGACCTTCTTTGCCTCTTAGAGGCGCTTGGTGCTGTTGTTTTTTTAAAGTGCATCCCAGATCCTGCCTTTTTCACAGGTCATTAAAGCCATTTGCAGCTCCCAGCTTTCGGCCTAAAAGCATCTCATCATTTCAAAGGGGAGCATCTTGTCATCTCCAATGTTGTCACATCGAACCTGCTGTGATGCATGTACCTGCATCTAGATGAATTTGGGGAGTTAATTAGATATAACAGGATGCAACAGAATATTAAATCAAAGCAGTGGATTCCTCCAAGTCCTCGCCCCTCCCCACCTGTGATGTGAGAGTTTCATAATCCCCCAACTAAAAGCTTCACCTTTACATATCTAAAGTTCACCAAAGAGGCAAGCTACAAAAAGCAATGATAGGCATTTGGCACATCTCCTGTTCCTTTATAATTGCAATCACTTTGCTGACCTTTTCTTTCCAAGGCTGAGATGGGGAGTGCGGGTGGCAGTAAATGGAACTGCAGGTTTGCAGCAAAAAACAGTTGTGGGTGGCACCAAATGGCCAGTCTCCACCAATACTCCTCTTCGCTCAAAACACACATACGCCAAAGCATTTTTTCAATGATGTTTCTGAATACACATACAGATAAATTTAAGAGGTGGACAGTCTGTTTGAAAAGGAACAAAGGCCAGTGTCCATCATGATAGAATGCACATCCGCCATGCAAACTGTGAAGCCAAGAGGAACCCAGTCTCATGCCATGGTGTGAATGACTGTGATTATACCTGCCTTCCTCCTGTGTTTAACAAGCACTGTGAAGCGGAAAAGAACCAATGTGTACTGGATAGAGAAGTGGATTTGGATTAGGTGACTGAGGTTCAAATCCCTGCTCAGCCATGTGTGGCCTTGGGCAAGTCACTGACTGTACTCAGATATCACATTCTCTTGTTTTCCAAACAAGGGGCCGGATTTATGTAGGTTTGATGAGGCCCTAAGCTACTGAAGGTAATGGGGCCCTTTATACGTCCAGCTGTCCTTTGTCAACAACAAATTGTCGCTGTTTTTTGTGTTGAATATATGCTATATGGTAATTTATGGACCTAATAGGTATCAAAAGCCATTAGCACATGCAGAATGTAGGCACCCTATATACAGAAATGAGCAAACCAGTGATATTTTAGGGAGCAGGCTAGCAGGCAAGGCCCGTTACTTACATCATAGGAGCCTCCACATCACAAAACACTGTTGCTGCATGTAGGGGTTTTTATTTTGTTTTTTATTTTATATTCTGGAAATGTACATCCAGTTTTTTTCCTTTGCATTTTTTGGGGGGGCCCCAAGAGAGTGGGACCCTAAGCTATAGCTTGTTTAGCTTATATGTAAATCCAGCACTGGCTATGCTAGCTGGGGCTGATGGGAGTTGGAGTCCAGCAACTTCACAAGTTCCCCATCCAACCATGGATGAAGGATTGGGAATAAGGCATGTTTGTGTGTGTGCGCCCTTTCCCCACTTTTTCCATCCCCTTCCCCTTGCATGCCCTGCTCAATAGAGAATTCCTGATCAAAACACAATTTGCATCCTGTTTCAGAAGGATCACTCGTATCAAATTTTCCCAGTCACAGCAAACAAAGCAGGAAGTGTTCTGCTCTACTTCGAGTGTGCCAGGAGAAGGAGTTGCATCTCAAATAATCCAGACTATAGATTGGAGGATTAGAGAGCATGATCCCTGAGCACGGCCACAATCTCTCAACTAATCTACCTCATGGGTCCATTGCGATAAAGTGGGATCAGCCTTGAACTCCACAGAAGATTGGCATGATACCAATGTGTCAGAAATAATATATGAGACGCCCACAGTCCAGTTTGATAAGGCGTACTCTTCTTGCAAACAGTTCCATGGAGATAATGGAATTACCTGCCATTATGCGCGGCTCATATGCCATCACAGTGTTCTGGACGGCAGCCCGTAGAACTCCAATCCCCAACCATTAAAACCAATTAGAGATGTGTCGTTCATCTCAGTGGGATCTCAACGCTATACATGGAATATCTGCAATAATAGAGAACAGTCAGCATAGCCGAGTTTGCTGCTGCCAAAAACATTTCAAAGTGTTTTGTAATTAGAACTTCATTATTTATCTTTCTGGGTGCTTTTAGATCGGCAGCGGCGATGCCGGTCTCTCGTCTGACAGCAAAATCAAAAGGTACAGGGAGTGGGGTGGTGGAACCGACAGCTACAAAAGATGAATACCCAATTTCCAAACACGTTTGCTTGAAGGGAAAGCAAGTGCAAAAAGAAAGAGAACATAGGCACTGTTGCCATCCTGTCATAATACGCACACCCCTAGCCAAAAGGTATCATGAAGCCATTTCACATCTGACTGCCTTTGATTTCCCAGCCTAATGGACCAGATTCTGGGATATAAGGGAGGATTGTAAGCCCTTAATGATGTGAGTTCAAGTCTCATTCATTCTCTTCTACAGAAAGGCTCCCTCCTGTTTGCCAATCATCTGTCATCTGCCTCATCGACCCCTTGCATTGTAGGCCACAGAAACTGGTGTTTCCTAGCTAATAGGCTGGCCATCCATCTCTTGAAGACCTTCGGATTTGCTAGTTATTTAAAAACTGAAAGAAAGTGAACAAATACTACTGGGAGCATTCCCATACTGAAGCAGTGCTACGTCTAATCAGGATCAGGATTATGTGAGGCTTCTGCAAAGGTGTACACAAAGCTTTCACTTAAAATAGGGAGTGGAAGTGAAATGAATAGTGTGAGTCTAATAGGAGGATGGTGTATTCCTGTTGTGTTTTATGATTTTCCTGATATTGTAAGTGAGCCGGAACTGGTCTGTGACCGTAATAATAAAATTCAATTCAAGTATGATGGGAATCAGGGAGCGCAGAAGCAGGTACAGGAAAACATGAGCTTTTAAGAAATTCCAAAGGAAGAAATTGCAGGAGTTGGCAATTGCAAAGACCTGTAGGGCAGTTCAGAACATTCTGGGTTAAAACCACTTCCAGGCTATTAATGCAAGAAAGGGGGAGAAACAATAGACTTGCCATTCATAATAGAAAATAAATTTGTTTTTGTTTTAATAAAGATATTAGGATGAGGTTAGATTTTAATTTTATTCTGTTTCTAGGAGTGTGTTATATAATAAGATGCAACCACAAATATGAAGAAAGTGTCATAATCTGGGGGAATTCACTTGGGAGATAATATACAAACTTGGTGAAAATGAGAGGGGGAGAATGTGTTAGGATATGGAGGTCAAACTCTGGATCAGGTCCATTTAGTCCAGCATCCTGTACTCACAGTGGCCGACCAAATGCCTGCCAGCAGGACCCCAAGTACAAGAGGACTCTCTCCTCCTTTGGTTTCCAGCAACTGGTATTCAGAAGCATTGCTGCCTCCTGCTGTGGACACAGAGCATAGGCATCATGGCTAGCAGCCATCAATTGATCTCTCCTCCATGAATTTGTCTAATCCTCTTTTAAGAAAGCCCAACAGAGACTCCATCTCCTCAGAGTATTGCGGAAGAACAATGTCAATCAACATTTGATGATCACCTTTACTGGTCAACAATAGAAAGTGTCCTTTCATACTGCATCCCGGTGTGGTACGCTGGTTTGACATCATCTGATAGGAAGTGCCTACAGAGGGTGGTGAATACAGCACAAGATATTATGGGCTGTCCTGTGAATCCGCTGGATGAAATAGTGGAAGAACGTTGCCTCAGGAGAGTGAGGAAAATTCTCAGGGATGATTCACACCCTGGCCGGCACTTTCTTGATCTCCTGCCCTCGGGCAGAAGATACAGAAGCATGATTAGTTGCACCAACAGGGTAAAGAACAGCTTCTATCCATGGGCTGTTAGGCTGCTGAAGGAAAAGATAACAACAGGGCAACTGACTTTCGGGTTTGGTGGGTGTGCGTCAGTAAACGAGGGGAATTAAGACTAAGAGAGCTGAGTGGGGGGGTGGTGCTCATGTAATCTCACTGTATACAAGTTGTACAAGTGACAATAAAGTATTTCAATTTTAAAGCCATCCAACTTGGAGGCCACCACTGTCTTCTGTGAGAGCGAGTTCCAAGGGTTAACTATGCCCTGTGTGAAGAGGTACTTCATTTCATCTCTCTTGAATCTTCCAGTGTTCAGCTTTGTTCGACCTCCATGAGTTCTAGTATCATGCAAGAGGGAGGAAAACTAAAAATGAAGGGGAATAGAGCTTGAGAGAATGGAAGGGACAGGGAGTGTGTCCCCAAGGATTCAGGAGAGTGTGTGTGAGAGATGGTTGAGGGAAGGCAGGGGCAGACGTTGGTCTTTCAAATTTCAATTTGGTCCTGTGTGAGGCCAAATTTCGGGGCCTCCTGCCCCTCACCTTCCATTTGCTCAGTTCACTACATCATAGTTGTGATGCCCTGCAGCGCCCCCTAGGCCCAGTGCCCAGTGCAAGGGAACTGGTCGCGTTGTCCTATATCCACAGGGAGAAGAAAGTCTGGCAGAGAAGTCTGGGAAACTAATTACAATAAGAGAAGATGACCTTTAAAAAGATAGGAGCATCAATTTAGGATCCTGAGAAGAGGGTTAAGATTCAAAAGAGCTCCACATGGATAAAGGCGAAATTAAACTGAAAAAAGCCCTCAATGAATTCATATTTTTAGAGTGGCTTTTATTATTATTATTTTTATTAACAAGCCATGACTGCATAATAAAGTTTGATAGGTTTGGTTTTTTGTTGTTTTTTTTTTTAAAGAAAACTTCGTAATAACTGTGCCGTGATGCTCTCAACTCAACAAAGGGATATGTGACTTGAGCATGGATATCTAATATATAGGACCCCTTGATGTTTATACATGCACATATCCTTCCTCAGTTACCTTGGCAACCACTCACAGGGAACTAGCAGGGTTATTCTTTATGGCTTATTTATCCTTCCCTTCCTCTGTGGAGCTCAAGGCAGTCACTGTGGCCTCCTCGCCCTTATCACAACATCCTTGCAAGAATGGTGGCCGTCAGGCTGCTGCCTGCGACTCCCAGCCCAGGAACCTACAAAGACAAGGAAATGTTTCTTACCTTCCACTTTTTATTCAGTATTTACAAATAGAGGCTATAGAACCCAGGCTCTTGGATAACGGCATTGTCCCAAGTGAATCTCCACCTCCCCCCAGTCTCTCTCACTTCCTCGTTTGTCAATCTCATCGTCTCTCCTACGGGTGCTGCTACATGCCCTCTGTCTTTGAGTTCTTTGCTCTCCTACTTTCAAGGCTCGCTGGGTTCTGGGAGAGGAGTGTGTGATCTGGAATGCTTTCTAAAGACACAGTGTCCATCAGCTGTTGCCCCCCATGGTGCTTCTTCTTCCTCCTCCTCCTCCTCTCCCATTATTTCCCAACTTCCCCCATCATCTGCCTCTGAGCTGTGACCTCCCTCAAACCCCTTGTTGTAATTCTGAACCATCTTCTTTTTCCTCCTCCCTGGAAGGGTCAAGCTGGGGAGGCGGTCTCCACCGTTCCTCCTCTGCCCAGTCCCTGACAGTGGTTGGCTCAAAGTCAGCCAATGAGCTTCTAGAGGAGTGGGGATTTGAATTGAGGTCTTGCCCAGCCTCTCCCAGAGCAACAGTGAGGACTCTGAGGGGGAGGGGTGGCAGACTGGGGAAAATAGAGGCTTGATTCCTTCCCATCCCATCCAGGAATGCAGGCTGTAAAGTCCCAAGATAGTGTAGGTCAGACGGAGACAGGCCAGGCTTCAGAGGAACTTCAGCCTTTAGACATCACTCTGAGGAGGGTGGAGACTGATTCGAGGGAGGGGGGAGTCCCCACAGGCTTGCAGAAGGGGCAGAGCCCAGGCTTGGCATCAGGCCAACAGGAGGCAGGTCGCCCGATGGAGGATATCCTGTTGGCAAAGAGCCCGCCCTTCAGTCGGGTCAACTTCTTCCCAGGAGGACTAGAACTGTGTGCTTGGCATGTAACTACTGCATAAATACTAATAAATCTAAGTGCAATTAAACCGTCAGCTTGCCTCATTCTTGGCAGGGGAGAGACATCTGGAATACTGACAGCCTCATTGGAAGGAAAGAACTTTTAAAAAGAAACTCATTGCCACAAGATGTTATCATGGCCACAGATCCTTGAAGAGGATTACGCACATTCATGGAGTCATAGGAAAGATACTATCTGCTGTTATTCGTTATAGGAAAGATCAGGTGTTTGTCGCGTTTACAGTGGTACCTCAGGTTACAGATGCTTCAGGTTACACACACTTCAGGTTACAGACTCCGCTAACCCAGGAATATTACCTTGGGTTAAGAACTTTGCTTCAGGATGAGAACAGAAATCGTGCTGCGGCAGGAGCAGGAGGCCCCATTAGCTAAAGTGGTGCTTCAGGTTAAGAACAGTTTCAGGTTAAGAACGGACCTCCGGAACGAATTAAGTACTTAACCCGAGGTACCACTGTATAGGATTTCTTATTGGAGGGGGTTATAACAATTTGACAGTTCAAAAACAGAAAGTTACAAATGGTGTTGGTGTATATCAGGGACTGGGATGTAAGAAGGCACTTTATTCTGCTTTGCCCTTTGTTCATTGAACACAGCACTGATTCTGTTCTGCTGCAATTCGTCTTCTGCCTAAAACATGATTTTTTGTCTTGCTGTCCAGTGTGGCAGCTGCATAACTTCTGTAATTAATTGTTTAAATTATGTAACGGCATTGTCATTATGTTACTCCACCCCATTCATTTCAGAGCAAAGGAAACCCAGTGCAAATGAGGGGGGTAATAATTAGTTGTGTGTCGTTTGCTGACTGAAAGCAGCAACAACAGCAAATACTCATTGCATTGACTGGATTGATTTCCATTCCAGACAGAGGATGAATAAGGAAATATTATCGGCAATGTTTGCTCCCACTTCTGTGGTCATTGGAATTCTCCAACATACCTATTGAAGTACCAAAAGCAAAATTTGGGATAAGCACAGGGGAAGACTACAGCCACCACCCCTGCCTCAAAAAAGCAACCAGCTGGTCATTGTGGAAAACACAATACTAGACAAGATGAACTCTTGGTCTGATCTAGCTAGACTCTTTTGTTCTAATAAGAGGGCTCAGCCAGCCACAGCCCACCACAGAAAAGTAATTTTTCTTCGCCACCATTATCAGCACATAGTCACAGGCTGCTTCCAACAGCCTTTGTATTGAAATCCCTTCACTGCGCAACAGAAAAATTCAAATTGTAAGATATAAATATTGGCTGTAGAACAATAGCTCTGGAAAATGTTGCTACTTGCAGTAATCTGCAATTAGCGACTGGAACCATTTCTTTTGTTGGCTAACTGGAAGAGATTTGTGTGCACAGACAATGGATTTGGCGTCAAACTCAAAGCACGCCTTGCTAATTTATACTTTTAGGTGAAGTGTATCTCTGGGCCAGGATGAGCATTTGATTCCATCAAGTACTGTCTGTTGCAGACTCCTTTAATGAATGTATCCAGGAGCCATTATCACTGAGCAGCAAAAGAAGGATTTTCAGATATTACATAGTGCTCCCATCCCTTTTGTTAAACTCTGGTTTGGCACTGAGAAGGTAGATAACACTATGGAAAACAAAAGGAGTTTTACATCATTTATCAAGCAAGAAAGCTTTAAGCCATTTGTTCTCCACTTGAATATGTGCCTCATCTGGCATTGTTGCTGGAGGCAAATTATTTGTGTATTACCCAATCCTGCTTTCTTTACTTGGGTCGGGGGAGGTGAGAAGGTTTATCCCCCCCCCCCAAAAAGAAACATGTATTTCTTTTGAGCATACCACACTTTGAGGAACTGGTAAATTGATCAGACACATACAGCCAGTGGCCTGGTTTGCACATCACATTAAACTGTAGCTAAAATAAACTATGGTTTGATGTGAAATTGTGGGTGCTTTGCTCCTCTCCAACTCCTGCAGCTGCTGCTGTGCTGTCCTGCAAACCATGGTCTGGCTGCTTACCTTGCCTGAACCTGAACAAAGCACAAGATGTGAAAGAGGAAAAAAGGAACCACAAGACCAGGTTTGGATGACAAAGCAGGGTAGACCATAGCTTGTTTCCTTGCAGGGGGGCAGCAGCAGAAGTGGGCAAGGATTTCAGCAGTGTACATTAGCACACTGCCCATTCTCCGGGAAGACAACATCTCCCAGTAAAACTCCCTTTGCAGTTTTCTTCACAGCACCAATGTACCATACCCACCAACATTTCTGTGATGAAAATAGGGACACCCTAGTCAATAATAATAGTAATAATTTTATTATTTATACCCTACCCTGACTGGGTTGCCCCAGCCCCTCTGGGAGGCTTCCAACATATACAAATAATAATAAACATTAAACGTTAAAACAACCCTTCCCTATACAGGGCTGCCTTCAGATGTCTTCTAAAGGTTGTATAGTTACTTATTTCCTTGCATCACATAACTCCGTACCCTCCAATGAAAACAGGGACATCCTAAGGAAAGTGGGACATTCCGGGATCAAATCAGAAACCGCGACAGCTTTTGTAAATCTGGGACTGTCCCTGGAAAATAGGGACACTTGGAGGGTCTGATGTACTGTTTGCGTGGCGAGTTCCCGCCCCCCACCAGGATAAATAAAGACACAAGACTAATTAACTAACTATTAATTAACCATTTTCAACTCTTTGTTACACTGAGGTACTGATAAAACACCTGCCCTGTTAAAGCGTCCCATCTTACAAAGCAAAGGTATGTGAAAGTGCTCCCAAAATTACTTCTGCTTTAAAAGATGGAAAATGTGTTTGTGAGAGAAAGGGAGGCAACCTCCAATTCCTCTCATCTAATTATGTCACTGATACATGAGTCCTCACAGAGACAGCTGTCACTTTTTTAAAGATGCTTTAAGTTCAGCACTGATAGCCACCCGGTCTGCTTTTATTTATTTAACTTGTTTCATGAAACTTGCATGCTGCCTGATGGTAAAATAATAATAATAATAATAATAATAATAATAATAATAATAATAATAATATCCCAAACGGGTCTGCAAAAGGAATGAAACAATAAAATTATCTGTCAAAACAGTTAAAAGCCACTATTTAAAACATCTAAGAAATAACTAAAACCAACAATAAACTAAAAGCAGAATGAAATGCGCACTTCGTTAATGCAGCTCTTGTTTAAGACAGAGAGATGAAGAAGTGTTTGGGTCATATCAAGTACAGTGGTACCTCGGGTTAAGAACTTTATTTGTTCTGGAGGTCCATTCTTAACCTGAAACTGTTCTTAACCTGAGGTACCACTTTAGCTAATGGGGCCTCCCGCTGCCGCCGCCGCATGATTTCTGTTCTCACCCTGAAGCAAAGTTCTTAACCTGAGGTACTATTTCTCGGTTAGCGGATTCTGTAACCTGAAGCGTATGTAACCTGAAGCGTCTGTAACCCGAGGTACCACTGTACTACTTTGCGGCGACTATCATCTGATTCAAGCAGGGAGAAAGTCAGATTCTGGAAATGGCTGCAGCTGAGGGATGCTCCTTCAGCTCCATGTTGCTGGACCACAACTCCCATCTTCCCTGACCATTGGGCACACTGAACAGGACTACTAGGGGTTGGACTGCAACAACATCTGAAAGACCACAGGTCCTCCCCACCCCCTCTGTAGCTACCCAAAAGGTAGCTGGCTCTTAGAGAACTGTGTGCATTTGGATTTCCAGTATAGAGATCTTTTGACTTTGTTATTGTCTACGCCATAACATGACACAAAGAAATCATGATAGAAGAGTTAGATAAGCCCCTGCCATTCATTCCTCTGAGTTTGGGTCATTTTTTAACTATTATCATAGAAAAATTATTATTATTGACTTGTTGGAGAGAATTAATTGACTGCGAATCCAGGCAAGTTCTTTTGAAATACAAAAGGGTCATAATATGCCAAAAAATAAATCAAATTATTAATTATAGAGCAATAAAATAATGATTTGTGGATTGATTACATTTCTTCAGAAAGTGCAGCAAGAGAGAAATGGTTGAACAGAATAACAGCAAAAGATAGACCCAGAAATCCTGAGGGGAAAAAAAACCCTGAGGTAAATTAAACTACTGTTGAAGAAGATAAAAGAAGAGCTACACTAGGGAAAAATAAGATTGCAGTGGCATGTCTGTGTGTACCCAAAATGACATTTAGATGTTTATAATGCTCTACTGTACTATTAATTTGCTTCCCACAAAAAAATCTAATTTTCATTTTGACACTGCCATGAGAAACAGCTTTGATTGAAAATGAATGTCCATTTCCCCGCCACTTGGGCCATGTAATATAGCTTGACATTTGGCTACAAAAGTGAAAATACTGTGTCCCAATTCAAAGGTTAACATACTTGCCACTCAAAACCCACTACTAAACAATCAGAGCTCCATAACACGTGCAAAGAGAAAACTGCATGGGTCACTTAGATTGTGCAACTTCCACTTGTACACTTGACAAGCGGCAATAGAGTGGCTACTTCAGCACTGCTTAAAAAGAGAAAAGGCACCAATGGAAAAGGACAGAAGAAGACGCTGATTTGCATACAGTGTGTATATGTATATATTAGGGGTGGTGCCTCCCAATTTATTCTGCTAACTTCCCCCCACTGCATGAGCACCACCTCTCATCATGCCATAGTTCACATCACCATCTGTGACCACTGAAACTACAGACTGATGGCATTTAGAGCAAATATATATAGCAGGATATATACACAAATTTAGAAATCAATAAATAGAAATACAATTTACCTCATCAAAGTGGGGAACAAGACTGTGTGCCTGCTCAGTCTGCTCTCCACGTGCCAAACCTGAAGGCCCTTGCTTTCCCTTTTTATGGTTCTTAATCTTTAAACCAGACTTGGATCAGACAGCTCCTCAAATAGAGGACTGTCCTCTATAAAGCATGAGACATGACCACTCTATGCTGCACTGTAAAAGTCTAAGCCTCTGGAGCTGAGCTTTCAGGCAGTAGCTGTGTCCATTAATTTCAGGGAGTCTACTCTGAATACAACTTCATTGTATAAGGAAGCTTTAGTGTTCTCTCTCTTGTTTTGTCTTCATATCCAGTGTCCCTACCATCTGCCCCTCAGACTTAAATGCCCTACCTTGGCAAATTCTTTTTCAGCGGAATCTTTCTGGACTGTGATCTCCTTTCAAAGGGATTACATAAGGAAACATGCTTTTGTAAGAAGCGACGTTCCTGGTGATGGATGGTAGCATATCACAGCAAAATTGGAAAGATACTCAGGATGAACTGATCCATTAAATCACCATTTTCTGTAAATACATTTCACCTATCAGATGGCTTTCTGCTACCCAGATTATATTTTTCTAACCAACAGGTGTCAGCAATCATACTTGTCTATAACCCTGAAGCTAGGTGGAATGTTGGAAATAAAACTGAAATCAGAGCTGCTCCTAGGGGATGGCAAAGTAGGCCCCCGCTGTGGGCACAGCTCAGGGAGGGGCCACAAAAATCACCTGTCAGACTATGGAGAATATGATGTATATGTTTGTGGTGCCGTGATGCTGCTGTCGTGGCCAGGGCAAACGCAGGAGAAACTTCCAGTCCTTCTCGCACCACGGCACAAAGGGGTGCAGTAAAGTGATATTTTTTTTCAGGATGTGTGTGCTGATATGGCTCCTTGCCTCTGAGCCTAATCTTATATATGTTTAGTGAAATGTAGGTTCATTGGGACATAAATGAGCACAGGGTTTTAACCAGAACAGAGCGAAGTGCTTTCTGAAGCCACATCAGTGCTCAAACTATTGTATGACATATTCTTGAGATGCGGGTGGCGCTGTGGTCTAAACCACTGAGCCTCTTGGGTTTGCCGATCAGAAGGTTGGCGTTTCGAATCCCTGTGACGGGGTGAGCTCCTGTTGCTCTAGCCCAGCTCCTGCCAACCTAGCAGTTTGAAAGTATACCAGTGTGAGTAGATGAATAGGTACCGCTGCTGTGGCAGGAAGGTAAACAGCATTTCCATGTGCTCTGGTTTGCATCACGGTGTTCCGTTGTGCCAGAAGTGTTTTAGTCATGCTGGCCACATGACCCAGAAAGCTGTCTGCGGACAAATACCGGCTCCCTCGGCCTGAAAGCAAGATGAGCGACACAACCCCATAATTCCCTTTGACTAAACTTAACCATTCAGGGGTCCTTTACCTTTTTTACCTTTACCTTTTATAACATATAGCACTTTAGAGTACATTTGCTTCAGAGGTAGAACAATATTCTGGTTCTGATAGCCAATGTACATTTACTTTGAAAGATTCTCCTGCAGATTATTTCAATTTGGTCCATTGCCTGCCCCTCCCCCACCTCCCCACGCTCCATGCAACATCTGTCACCAGACACCTTTATCCATGATGTGGGATGTCATTTATTCCATGTCTTTATTAAAAGCAAGCTTTCAGCTAGCATACTTTATTTTTTATCTGCCTAACTTAATGTTTTTATTTGTGTAGCCAAATAAAGGGAAATGCACAAGAAGAGCAAGTTTCTCATGCCACAGAATACCCGTTCAGCATTTGTAAGAGTTTGAGGGTTTATTGGTTATTTTGTGTTTTTATATTGTGATTTTATGTTGTAACTGCCCTGAGACCTGCGGGGATAGGGCGGTATACAAATTTAATAAATAATAAGAATAATTGATAATTTAGTATGGAACCCCTTCACCTTGGAACTCCCTGCCTCTTGAGACCAAGCAGGCGCCTTCACTGCACTTTTTTCAGCGCCTGCTAAAAACATTCCTCTTTAGACAAGCCTACCCAGATGCTTAGAAAGTCAAGGTCATTTTTATCTGTTTTGTATGCTTTACAGTACAGTTGTGGATTTTTCATGATTTTATTCTTTTAGCTTTGTAAACCCTTTTGAGGGTTGGTTGGCTGGTTGGTTTTTAACACTCAAGCGGTGTATAAATTTTATGAAACAAATAAATAAATTATTAGGGTTTGCCTATTTCATATAAGAATTAGTGGCTAAAATTTTACAAGTAGCTGACAGTATCATTAGTTGAATACTTGATGCTGGACAGAAAGAACCTTCTCCTGATACCTTTTCACCTTGTGATTGTGTAGGAATGTTGTGGATAGTAGGCGAGGATATATTGATTTAATATTATCCTTCCTCACTCACGCTAGTGAGTCAGTAGCAGAGTACATTCCGCTGTATATTGCAGGAAGCTAGTTGGTAGATTCGTTTGAATCTCTTGAGTTAAGCAATCCAGTCTGGCTTGTCCAGACTGGATTGTTCCTGGTAAATTCCCCTTTATTCCCTCGTAAAACAATAAAGACACAACAGGCTTCTTTAAAAGTAATGATAAGAAGTTTACTTACATTCAGTTCCCAGTATGATCCTGAAGGCAGGCTTTAGCTTGTAGTTACAGAAGAGAGTGTGAGTTAATCCCATATGAGGATTAAGCCCATGTGCTGCTGGCTGAGAGCCAGCAGACAGCAAAATACATCAAGATCAGAAGAGAGCAGCAAAAGAGAGGAAGATAGCTGTGTGACTGGCCCCTTTACAGGGTCTCACAGGGTCACACCCATCACCCTGGTCACACGCAGGGGGAGAATGCTCCAGACGGGTCTGACAGGAAGTCCTGCTGCCTGGAGTAACACCCCTCTGTGTGTCCACTCTGGGCAAACAGGAAATGTTGTACTTGACTGCTACAGTGATGTCATATCCCACAGATTACACACGGGGGTTTGAAGGTTTTTATTCCTAGCCCTAGCTGGATATTTTTCAAATAAGCAATTATTGTACCATATAAAGTTATCCACCTTCCAGCCATCTTTTGATATTTAATTAAAAAAAACCCTCTTTTTATTTTCATATATCAGGTGGCATGGGGAAAAACAACCAAGCCAGTACACATAAATCAAAGGGGAGGGAGTACATTTTCCAGACTTTCTAGGTAGCCTGCAAAATAAATTTTCACAAATAGATGCTTACAACTAAGGATGGATGGATCGGTCTATTTATGGTCTGTGCAAATTTCACATGTGTTCATGCATATGTTCAATTCCATTTCTGCAATAATCTGTCATGATGATAATTAAAATCCAAGCCAAAAAAACGCATATTTAAATGCACATTTAAATAAACATGTATAATAATATTTACATGTGCATTTTATCACAAAATGCTGTAGTTTTGGATTTAATTGCAGTTACGCATTTCTAAACATATTTTATCCTAAAATATACATTTCAGTGTATTTTTAGTCAGTATTTGTATTGCAAAATTCACAGACGTGTGAAGTTTGAAGAATAGTTATGCTCTTAAGAGTTTATTAAAATCATTCAACTCATGGCAAGTAGAATAATTATCATCAGTGCTTTATTTTGGGGGGAAACCCTGAAGGAACTTGGCTAATAGGGTATTGGGTAAACAGGCAGGATCGCAATGGCTCTTATCAATACTTGACCTAAAGAAGGAATAACATGCATGGAACTGTGGCAGATTTAGCAGGCCCTCATAATTGCATCTGCTGAATTTGTTTTGTTATCCAATTGCCGCAAAGTCTTTTATTTCATCACTTCCCATCTGCAACTAAGTAGAACAGCTGCCATTGTAATGGTGTTCACCATTTTAAATCATGCAAAAATGCAGGGGGAAATAGAACTCATGGGTTTATAATGGCTTTGGAAGTAATTTAGATGAATGTTGAACCTGTTGTTGAGTTTGTGAGGCTCTACTAAGCTTGGGGGTGTTTTTCTTCTGTGGCTGCTATGATATTTAACTCCAAGAGCGTGCTATACTTGAAAATTCAGAAATTTTATATTCCTATTCTGTTTCAGGCAGACCCCCGTTCCCCTCACAGAGATACAATTCCCAGAGTTTCCTATGAAGGAGGATTGATTGCTAAACAGCTCTGGGAACTGCAATTCTGTGAGGGGAATAGGGGTCTCCTAACTACTCTCAGCATTCTTAACAAGTTGCACCTCCCATAATTCTTTGGGGAAGTCATGAAAAGTGGTGGTATAACATTTTAAATGTATGGTGTGAATGTGGCCTTAGTCTACTGTCCAGTCTGCCAGCTGATGATGGGCAATATCAAGTCGTCTCCTGCCCTCTCCCTTCTTATAGTTCTTTATTTTTAAATTTGACTTGGACTGGATATCCCTTCAAATAGAGAACTCCTTTGAACACAGGACCTCCCTCCACAAAGTGGGGCACAAGACCATCTTAGGAGGCACCGAGAGAAACGAAAACTGGCAAGGAAACAAATGGCATTACTAGGTTACATTTTAGAAAGAAAACTTAAAAGGTTTGGACTGCCTTGTTATTGCACTCGGGCTAACACTTTCATTAATCATAAATAGAATATAAAATGAAGATTGGAGGAGACATAAAAATGAAACATAAAATCATAAAATGATTCAAATGTGCCCTTAGCAGGAAGTTAAACAGGCAGCCTGAGGCTGAAGGGGCCTCGGAGCCTATATAATACTAATGGATAGTTATTGCAAAGGTGTAACATGAAGGTATTCCTAAAGTTAGTGGAATAATGGGAATGTTGAAAGCTAGAAATAAGCAGTTAACGCTAATGTACTGATGCTTTCACATAGTTAAACTTGTGCATCCATTGAGTCCAAGATCCAGTATGAGAGATTTAGGGTTGCATCCAATGTTAGCCCTACTCAGAGTCACCCATTTCAATGAGTGGACATAAGAATCTGCTGGATCAGAATGATGATCGGCATCCTGTTCTCACAGTAGGTAGTCAGATGGCTGTGGGAAGCCTGCAAGCTAGCCGTGATCACAACAGCACTCTGCCTACCTGTGATATCCAGCAAATAGTATTCAGGGACATCGTGGTTTAGCTTGGTTCAATAATATCAGTGGGTCTTTTCTGAATAGGACTTAGTTGGATGCAACCCTTCAGCTGCAATTCAGGGAACAAACTCTGTTGAATATAGTGAGACTTATTAAGGGTAAAGGTAAAGGGACCCGTGACCATTAGGTCCAGTTGTAGGACCATTAGGGCCGACTCGGGGGTTGTGGCGCTCATCTCACATTATTGGCCGAGGGAGCCAGCGTACAGCTTCCGGGTCACGTGGCCAGCATAACTAAGCCGCTTCTGGCGAACCAGAGCAGCGCACAGAAACACCGTTTACCTTCCCGCCGGAGTGGTACCTATTTATCTACTTGCATTTTGATGTGCTTTCAAACTGCTAGGTGGGCAGGAGCAGGGACCCAGCAACGGGAGCTCACCCCGTCGTGGGGATTCAAACCGCCGACCTTCTGATCGGCAAGTTCTAGGCTCAGTGGTTTAACCCACAGCACCACCCACGTGGGACTTACCTCTCAGTAAACACACAAAGGATCAGTCAGGTCATAATGTTAACAATTGAATGACATTCAGTACAACCAACAGAAGCATGCCCCTTGAACAGCAGGCTTGTTCCTTGAACTATGTTGATATTCCACAAGCACCAGGATGATGGTCTGAGGCAGTCTAAACGCAAAAGTAACTGATATGCATGCTGAGATTGGCAAAGTGACTGTCTCCATGAATTCCCACAGTGAATTCTCTGTTAACTCTCTAATGAATAGGCTGAATATCACTTGAATTAAAGGTAATTTTATGACGTCACTCACGGATTACCTTCATACACCGAAATGGAAATTGGGAGCCTGCCGAACATGTTTTTCACAGCACCACAAGAGTCTGAATTATAAGTAACAAAACAACATGTAATATCAATCAAAAGTGATTCTACAAACATCTGGAGAAAGAAGTGTGTGTGTGTGTGTGTGTGTGTGTGTGTGTGTGGTGTTACTCCGACTGCAAAAGTAAGAAATCAGAACCTAATGGAAGTATATCTAAGCAAGACTGCTGACTCGTAACAAACATGGGTATGATTTCATCTCATAAGAAGGCAACACTGGAAAACTTCTGGACTATGTGAAACATAGAATTATTCATAGAAAGATAAAGGTATACTGTACTTCAGGCATATTTGCTAGAGTTTAGGCAGCGTTGTTCTCACAGTCATGGCAAACCTGTACCCAGGTTGTGCAACTTGAGATTGCATCTTAAAGGCAAGAATATTCCTCAGTATCACAAAATTCTGTGCACATCTGAATGTAGGTCTCTGGGAAAGGGCTAGGTTAGAACCAGGGGGAATTTCTGAATTGAGTTTGGTCTTACTTCTGCCTTTATTCATTATGTGGCTCTAGCATTACTTCCTAATGCAGTAACATAGAAAGGAAATTACAAATTTGCAGCTCTTATGCATGGAACACTGCATTATTCATGGATAAGCCAAAAATTCTCTTTAGACTTCAGTTCAAAAATGGATTTTGTTGTGTCTACCATTTTTATTTTACCCAGCAATTTCCTTGAGTGAGGAAAGGAAGCATTTCCCTCTGCCTTAGCTGTTTTCAGAGCAATGAGAGGGAACATTATTCATTTCATTATGAAGCCAGTCCGATAAGGACATTTCTTCTTGATTTCACCCTAGGGACTGGTAGTTAAAACTTATTCGCTTATTTATTATGAATTAGCTATGTGGCGTACATGGTCTCTTCTTCCACATTTTATCCTCACAACAACCCTGTGAGGTAGGTTAGGCTGAGCGGCAGTGATTGGCCCAGGGTCACCCAAAGAGTTTCATGGTAGCTGCCAGCCCCCAGGACTGCAAGGATCATTAGTGCCAGTAAATTCAGCCAAATTTTACCATCTGAAAATTAGTGAAACACACACACACACACACACACCAAAATTTGCTGCCTGGAAACAGGGTAATGACATTGGAGGGCCATTTTGGGTAAGTCCTACAGGTAAAATGTTTTCGGAAACCCTAACTGACTTGACTGTCTATAAATGGTCTGGAAATACTAATCCTTCAGTGAGTGCAAAACTAAGGATTAGTTTGGCAGAAATGACTGGCAGAATCCGAGACCAGGGAGAAGAGTCAGTGAAAGAAGATTGGAAGAAATTTAAAGATTATTTACAGAAATATTGTAAAATTAAGGAATCTTAGAAGGATGTTGGGTAGAAACGAAGTGGTTTCCAGCTGTAATGCTTTAAGAGATACGAAAAAAGGTTTACAAATGTGTAAAGCTTAATGGTAAGGATTTGCTGAACTAACAAACTGAACTGGAATACAAAAAAGGGAGGTATGAGGAGGTCCGGGGAAATAAGTGTAAGGAAGATATGCTATGGAAAGTTAATGTGTTTTTAACTGTTTTTATCTTGTATGTTTTTCTTTATTTTTCTTTTTTTGTGTTATATCTTAAAAACTTAATTCTTTTTTCTGTATTTTGTATTTTCTTGTATTTTTATTTTTTGTTTTTGTATTCTTTGAAACTTTAATAAATATCATTTAAAAAAAACAACAACTAAGGATTAGTGACTGAATAAAAGACCACTGGGAACCCTCTTTAAACTTGCCTGTGTTTTCTAGCAGGAATGTGAGACATCAATAATAAAGTATAAAAATGCAAGTTGCTTGTGAAAAATGTGCCGTTCTTCTAGAAACAAGAAAAAAACCCCTGTCCATCTCAATTAAGAATGGGCTGGATCTCTCTGAGCCTTTGTGGGGGATTTGTCAGGGAAAATCTGAAATTAAAAATAACTACATTTCCCAGATACCTCTCCCCTCACAGAGCTACAAATCCCAGCACCCTTAACAACCTACACGTTCCATGATTCTTTGGGGCAGGGGGAAAGGGGAGATGAACTCATGTGCTTTAAATGTATGGTGTGTGCACGGCCAAGAAATGAAGACCCCATCTGCACCACACATTTAACGCAGCTGCACCCCACTTTAGCCAGCCATTGCTTCCCCAAATGTCTGTGCAGCCATAGGAAAACCACAGGACACGGGTGGTGCTGTGGTCTAAACCAGTGAGCCTCTTGGGTTTGCCAATTTGGAGGTTGGTGGTTCAAATCCCCATGACGGGGTGAGCTCCCATTGCTCTGTCCCAGCTCCTGCCCACCTAGCAGTTTGAAAGCACACCAGTTCAAGTAGATAAATAGGTACCGCTGTAGTGGGAAGGTAAACAGCATTTCTGGCTTCCATCATGATGTTCCATTGCACCAGAAGTGGTTTAGCCATGCTGGCCACATGACCCGGAAAGCTGTCTGTGGACAAACGCCAGCTTCCTCGGCCTGAAAAGCCAGATGAGCGCCGCAACCCCATAGTCGCCTTTGACTGGACTTAACCGCCCAGGGGTCCTTTACCTTTTTTATAGGCTTAAGCTGCAGAAAAGTACTGGAGCAAGGGGGGTTGGGGGTGGAGAGAGAAAGAGAACAAAACAATTGTCCACAAAGGAATGAGTAAATGAGCTTAGAAATTAGATGAATGCAGTTTTCTCAGCTAGACCAGTCTTAAGTGCACCAGGTAAATTGCTCAACGACACACCCACCTCTTTTTCCTCCTTGGAGCTCAAGAGATCTGAGGTGTTAAATAGCTCTTGCTCCAGGCTGCCTTCCCACAGTCCATTATGTGCTTGCAGCCTGAGGGGGAGGCCGGGTTGGAAGCGGTGCATAATACATACTTTAAAGTGAAAGGCATAAATAATACATATGGTGTAGCTATTTGCGACCTTATAATGGCTTCGGTCTTTGACTACAATGTGGAACTACTGCCAGGAAATTGTGTCAGAGAGTGGATGGGAGCTAAGTGATATCCCCGCGGAGGAATAAATGTTTTGTGACAGGGAGGAGCTAATGAAACCCGAACCTCCCGAGTCCTTGCGCTTTCCCTCCCCAAAACATTTTAATTTTAAGGCTGTAAAGTGCAATGAATGTTCACAATTGGGATCTGCAGCCAAAAAAGAAGAAGCTGGTAATAAAATGCGAGCGATAAAGGTTCAGACATTTCTGGCTGGTAAAGAAAACTGTGAGGAATCATAGAATCATAGAATCATAGAGTTGGAAGAGACCACAAGGGCCATCG